TGGGCCAGAGGAGTTTCGGACGTAATTGTTGAGACATAAGATGCCCAACATTCACGTTTAGCCGTACGGATGGCCCTACGGGCCACCGCACTCGCTTTCCGAAAGAAAAGAAAAGAATCGGTCGTCTGCCTACGGCGGTGCTTCTTCCAGGCTGCACGCTTACAGCGGACAGCCCGATCACAGTCCGCATTCCACCAGGGAACGCACTTCCGTGGACCCCGGGAGGAAGAGCGAGGGATAGAGCGGAGGGCAGCGTTGAAGACAGTGTCATGAAAAAGGAGGAGAGCGCGAGAGAGAGGCAGAAGGGAGAGGTCAGAGAGAGTAGCACTGAGGGAAAATAGGGTCCAGTCCGCCTTAGCAAACTGCCACCTAGGGAAAGAGAGGGAAGGGCGAAAAGAGAAAAAGGAAACAAGGATGGGGAAATGATCACTTCCATGGAGGTCATCAAGAACCTGCCACGTGAAATCTAAGTAAAGAGAAGAAGAGCAGAGAGAAAGATCAAGACAAGAAAGGGTGCGAGTCCGAGAGTCCAAATGAGTGGGCTCACCGGAATTCAGAAGAGACAGGGAAGAAGAGAGGAGAAACGGCTCAAGAAGGCGACCCCAGGTATTCGTCAGAACGTCACCCCAAAGAGAATGACGACAATTGAAGTCACCCAGCAGGAGCACAGGCTCCGGCAAGGAGTCTAGGAGGTGTTTCAAATCAGGAAGAGAAAGCGGGACACTCGGGGGGGGGGGGGGAGATAAATGGAACAAACAGTGTACCATTTCCCCACAAAGACACGAGCAGCAGAACAATGGAGAGGTGAAGGAAAAAGTAAAGGAACAAAGGGAACATCAGCACGAATCAAAAGAGCAGAAGAATTAGAAGCCCCAGCAACAGCTGGGGGGGGGGGGGAGAGAGAAAGGAATAGCCACGAAAACGACCAGGACGAGCACCAAGCATCGGCTCCTGGAGACAGACACAAAGGGGCGAAAACCGCGAAATCAGAAGTTGGAGTTCGAGGAAATTGGCGTAATAACCTCGAACGTTCCATTGAAGAATGGACAATGACGAGAAGAGAAAGGACAAAAACAGAGAACAAGGAAGAAACAAAGGCGAAAGAGCAACAGAGCACGTTAAAGAATATCAGGGTCGGGATCAGGGTCAGCAAAGTCAGGGTTAGGGGGCATGGGTAAACTGAGCAAAGACGGAGGGAAGGAAACGGGAGAACAGATCAGAGGTGGGCGGGCGGGGTCCGGAGGAGGAGGATGAGGAAGAGGAGGAGACAACGGAGAGGAGCAGGCAAGGACAGCAGCAGGAAGAGGAGGGGTAGAAAGAGGGGAGCGTACCTCAGCAAGGGCAGCAACTGAGAGGGAAGCGGGGGCTAAAGAAACCGCCATAGCAGGAACAGGGGGTGCAACCACCGAAATGGGAGGGGAAGGAGCGAGAGAGGCAGAAGTAGGGGCCGAGGAAGAAAGCGAAACCTTCTTACCCGCCGGGGAGGAGGAAGGAGAGGAGCCAGGTTTATGCTTCTGACGTAAAGAGACAGGTGTCCCAGCAACCACGTACTGGGCAACGGATTCTAGCGTCTCAACAGGAGAAGCTGAACGAGAGCACACATGACGGCCGTTTGGAGAGCGATGGACATCAGCCCGCACCGACAGGCGGCGGGGAGAGTCAAGAGACGGAGGGGAAGGATGGGAAGGAGGAACGGAGGGAGACGAAGAAGAAGACACAGGAGACACGACAGACCGGGTAGAAGGAGGGGGAACCCCAGACTAGAGGACCATGCAGGAGGAGGATCCTTCGGGGGAGAACCCAAAGGAACAGAGGAGGGGGCAGTGGGCGTATCAGGGTCCAAGGCCCGGAAACGGTTGCGAGTCTGAGGAAGGCGGGAAGGACGAGGAGAGGAAGAGCGCAACACGCGAGCATAAGAGATATTAGCATAAGGCGGGAGCCGGCGAACCTGGCGTCTCACCTCAGGAAAAGATAAACGTACGCTCCCGGTGCTTCAAGTTGAGGACGGCTGCCTCAAGCTTGTAATGGACACACGCACGGGAGAAGGTAGGATGGGCCTCACCGCAGTTGAGGCAACAAGCCTGGTGAGAAGTGCACTCCGACTTAATTAGAGTGACCTTCGCCACCACACAAAGGACAGAGAGAGACAGTCCCGGAGCAGCGGAGGGCACCATGCCCAAACCTACAGCACTTGTTGCAGAGCCGAGGAGAAGGAATGTACTCCTGGACAGAGCACCTGGCACCAGCAAGAATGACAGAGGGTGGAAGGGTCCTACCATCAAAGGTAATCTTCACAACCCGGAGGGGTTGACGGCAACTACCACGAGGGGGACGAGTAAACGTGTCCACTAGAGAATAGAATGGCCCTGGGCAGCAAGGATATGTCGAATATCGTCGTGGCAGTCGCGCAGGTCCCGAACACCGGTCGCAACATGGGGCGGGAGCAAAATAGTGCCAACACTGGCATTCAACTGAGCGTTCTTCGAGACCCGAACAGGGGTCTCGCCAAGGCAGGATAAGGCAGCCAAGCGGGAAGCAGCATCCTGAGAAGGAGCAGCAACGACACGTGTACCGAGACGAGTGGGATTGAAAGTAATGGAGGCATCCACGGAATCAACGAGATGTCGATGGAGGGAGAAATCGTCAGGAGGCGCAGAACCAAGAGGGAGATGATCAAAATATTTGGCCCACGAAGCGGGACCAAACAAGGCTTGATAGGTAGCAGAACTGGAAGGAATCGAGCGAGGGCGGCCGTGACGAGGACGGCGGTGAGAACCCTCAGAGAGAGAGGGGTTAAAAGGCGCAGTAGTTACAACTAGAGAAGGAGCCGCGCCAGGGGACGAGGTAGTCACCACCGGGGGCTTGGGGCTCGACCCAACCACAGAGGAGGGAGGGGAGCCAGGGGAAGGAGTCAGAGAGGCCAAACGAGGAGCAAGGTCGGGGCCCAATGCAGCGCAGGCTACAGAGCCCGGTCTTCCAACACGGACCGACTCGGAGGCTTGGTCGCCCACCCCACGAGCCTGAGAGGGTACAACAAAAGCATTCAACGACATAGGTACGAAGAGTGATAAATTCATCCACGAATGTGCCCCCATACCCACCATGGAGCCACAATTAGAGGCAGGACACCCAACAGGAAGCTATTGCCGATCATGCCGGGGCCCCCTAGGGGTGCGACGCGAGTATACGCCCCACAAACGCCACCTTAAGAACCGTCAGTCTGTCGAGATCGGGTTCAGCGACGAAAGGGGGATTGACAATAAAAGGTTCCCCTCGCTCGAGACGTTGGGTACTACAGTTCTACGGGTGCAAGAGTATGCCTCCTCAAGCACCCGGGCGTCAAAATAGAAGAAGTCCAAAGAAACACTCCAAAACAAGCAAGTAATTATCAAAAGAAGGCACCCAAAACAAGCAAAAGGTCGGCAGGAAACGACAAGCAGATAGAAGAGGGGGGGGGGGAACGAAACAATGAAAAAGAAAAGCGATCCGGCACAATTAGAGAAGACAGCAGCAGGAGTGCAAGGCCAGAAAAGGACAGGACTGTCCCACGGAGCATCACACTCCAGCAGCCGTCCACGAAGCCCCCTCACGACGCCAACGGGCCGGATGGGGAGGGGGTTGGCCACACGAAATGAGGGCATAAGTTTTCTGTACCGAGATACAGAGATAAGGAGGCCACATTCCTCAGCTCTAGTAGCAAAAGGATCGAGCAGAACTTACATTCTAGGCTCGGAGGCAGCCTGTAAACATATATCAACAACATAAATAACTATCTTCCTTATTAGTTGGTATATCTTTAAAAAGTTTATGCATCAGAACCTTGCATAACAAGGAGCTCTTGTCGAGTTCCCAGTTCAAAGCGTTTCTGGGGAAGTAATTAATTATCAAAAGAAGGCACCAAACCGGGATTTAGCTGGAGAATTTTAGACCCCTACCAAATCTTCGTTTAGGGCTGAAGATCATAATCATATTGTTTAGTGGGATGTGCTGTAGAAGGTAAGGTAATTATCAAAAGGCGGCACCAAACCGGGAAGGCTATGTAGCACCATCAAATGTGCAATATATTTAAAAGTAAGTACAATTCCAGACTGCTATGAGTAGTACATAATTGCACTTGTGCAGTTACATTTACCTCCCTATTTTGTTACAGCTGCTTTCTGGGGGTGGGGATGTAACTCCCATGTACTTATTTACTGCTAGGTAACAGGGGCCTCAGGGTGAAAAACATTTTGTCAGTCTCGGCCGGGGATCGAACCCAGAGCGCTCGCTACCCACCTCTAGTTTTGCTATTACACTTGCCATCTTGCGTCAATCTTTACCGAAATAGGTCTCTACACCTCGCCCGCCTGGTAAGTAGTTATAGCCTGAACGACTAGATACGTTGCCAATATCAGACTACATAAGCAAGGCCTACGTAGCCATGGAATTTTATAACAGGCAGATTAGACTATAGCATTAAATATGTACCAGTTAGACATCTGTTACGGGCTGCTTCCTGTTAAAGAGTGGTTATCTTGAGATTATTTCGGGGCTTTAGTGTCCCCGCCGCCCGGTCCTAGACCATGCCTCCACCCCCAGGAAGCAGGTGACTAACACCCAGGTACCTATTTTACTGCTAGGTAACAGGGGCATAGGGTGAAAAACTCTGCCCATTGTTTCTCGCTGGCGCCTGGGATCGATCCCTGGACCACAGGTTCACAAGTCCAGCGCGCTGTGCGCTCGGCTCCCTAAGGGAGGGAGAGAAAAGTGGAGGTGGGCAGAGAGTAGAGCATGGGTTGCTCTGAAAGAACAAATACCAGAGAATTGATTGCCAATAACTCTTATTTGTATTGGGAACATTTGGAATATTTAGCAATTGATTTTACTTACTAATCTTTCTGGAATTTGCAGATTAACACTCGTCCAACCAAAAGGAAAATTAAATTAAACGATTGTAAATATCTTTAATCCGAGCAGATATACTGCTAGCATATAGAAGGGGCAAATAATGAAACTACAAGAAAATACCTACTATGTATTTTAGTTTCAAGTACAAAAAATAATACAAATTTAAGCACTTTGAAAATTTTGGTCGACATGTTACAAAATTCCTTCATTAAATCATTTAAATGACAAACAAGAATTTTAACTGCTCACTATTCAATAAAACCAGACATCCCATTTACATGAGAACACTGCTTGGCAGTCACTAATAAATTCGACACTAATTGTGATCGTCCCACAGCAGGCACACTTTCATTGTTAACTAACACCACTTCCACAAAAAACCTCTGCACTGTTAACACTGAAGGCTCCTAGAATCCGCCGGAAAGGGCCTTGCGATCATTCAAGTTCCAAGGCTTTGTTAATTCCCACGGATTGAAGCCTTCAAAACTTTTCCCAACACTGCGAAATTGGCTTCTTACACCATTGTCTAAAATCTTCAAATCTGGCTTTGCATACCGTCGTCATAAGAGCCAGACGCAGTAGAAGACAGACGGGATGAGGACTGGGGAGGATTGGCGTTAGTACGTGTCTCCGCTGTTCCAGGTAGCGGCAGCATTGTAGTCGTATCCTTGATCACGCCAATCAGTACGGCTGGTGCCTCGCCTGCTGCCGCCCGTGCTGGCTCTTACCCCCGCCGTACCCTTGCCCGCCTGGTAATAGCCAACAATGCCATAAATAATGAGTCTCGGTGAACGACTAAAAGTACAGGTTTGACCCCAGCATGTTTAGTGACTGGATATGTTGAAACTGACGACTCAACCAACAACACATTGAGCACATCCAAAACTAACTAGGTGTGGGTCAACATGCAGGGATCTAATTCATGACTAAATTATAATTAACCTATTATCTTCAATAAGGAAAATTTCAACATTTATAGAAATTTCAATTTTGACTAATTCATGCAATTATATATAATATTCATGCCATTAACAAACATTAACCACCATAGGCCTGATACTTACCATAATTACTAGAGCCATATCCGTAATCATTATAACCTCCATATCCTCCATAGCCGTAATCCCCATATCCACTGTAGCCACCATAACCACCATAATCATAGCCTCCTGGAACAAAATATAAGAAATTTTAAAATTAATATGCAGACGTTTTATAAACATCACAATTTCACACTTTCTCAAGCATTAAATAACTTTCAATTTGACTATGACAATGAGGACAGCCCAGTGCAAGAATCAAAGTTATTCAGTGCATATCAATTCAATGCAGAAAACTCCTGTTTCTGAAGCAATTGATTCAAGGAAAAATTCTGAAATTTAAATAAATTAGGAGTTTCAAATAGACAATTGAGGGAGATGTCCCTAATCCAAACACCTATACAATCTATGATTTATATTTAAAAATGTCTACTCTTGCATAAAATGTAAAAATATTGGGTGGATGTGGTGGGCTTTACTTGGACATTAGTCTTGCACGATAATTAGGCATATACACTTTGCTATTGTGTATGGTATACAAATTAGCGTTACATTGTTTATACCTTCTATGTTTCAAGTTGTCATCTTGCACCAAGCTGTGAATTGTTGGTTGCTTCCACCCCTTCTGGTATAATTTCATTTCTTACTGCAACTGTGACCTCATTCTGGTTGGTGTCCATCACTTGGCAAGTCTTGACACATGCAGCAGACTTTCGACTTGTTAGCAGGCAGTTTTTCCTTCCCATAACTTATGGAAAGTCTTACCCTAATAGTTTTCCCCAGAACTAGACACCAATCAGTTAACCAGGTACCAAAATCCAATTACTGCAGAGTGAATACAGGGCAAATGTAAAGATTGGTAGTAAGTCAATCTTCCCTGGCAAAGACTGGGTCAGTACAAATTCATTATTTTGTGTCGGCCCCAGTAGTCGTGTTTCAGTGATTCTATGCAGGCAGTAAAGGGTTATTTTATAGATCTCTCCTGCCTTCAAAGGTAGAAGAACTGAATTTTCTAAAAAGCACAACACCAGTGCTTTTAAGTATTGTACTGTACGTTTATTGGTACAGTACTGAGTTATGTTCTGAAAGTTGTGTGTTGTATTTTCCTGCCTGTTGCCAGTTACATTGTGTTCTAAAGGGTAAGTCTTAACACCATTCCTAGACCTATCATGATTTTACTAGAGACCAGGCCTCCTAGTTGGTGTCTGGGCAACCAGGTTGTTCGATGTGACGGCATGCACTTTACACGAGTCTCAGCCTGGCTGATCAGGTATTCTTTGAAGGTGTTTGTGAAGCTCTTTTGAATACTGCAAGAAATCAGCCTTTGCCAACTGTGGCCTATGTAGAAAGGGAACTGAAAAGTCTTGGGCCTTTTATGTCTGAGCTCTCAAAATGCCTAGTGCATCTCTAGCTTTTCAATGGGGCTAATTTGCACATCCTGACATGCCTTCTGGTCTCATTTCTATGTGCATATTTGGAACCAGTCCTAGTATTTTCAGTGTGAATGACTATGCCTCTCCCCCCTTCCTGTGCTTTAGGAGTCCAGGGAATATTTAAAAATTTATAACAAGTCCCATTAATTTGGACATTTTATTAAGTGGACTAGTCGAAAAAGTTCTTTGCATGCTCTTCAGGTCGCAATTTCTCCAGCTTAGGATGGGGTCGTTAGTGTGCAACAATATTCCACTCTTAGAAAGCACTACTGTCATTAAATTATTATTGGTGTGGCATCTCATTTGAAAGTAATCAAAAGAAGGCACCAAGCCGGGAAAGGCTATGTAGCACCATCAAACGTGTGGAATAATCAGAGGACGTTAAATATCACCAAGATTGCCAATATGAGAACAGAAAAACACTTAAGGCGAACAATATCAAAAGTATCCGACTCTCTGAGAATTCCATCGAGGGACAAGTGACCACGAGGGACAGTCAAAAAGCAAGACAAGCTCGTCCTGGAAGTCAGGACATCTCATTTGAAAGGTTATCACTTTTTTTGTTTTTTTTTTGAAAGATTACAGCTGTGTTCTTTAAAAGTAGTCTTCCAACATGATTACCTTTAAATCGTTTACATTGCTTTATCTTTTCCTATAACTATAACTGAAACTTATCCTCTCTAAACATCCTATTTTCTGAGCCTCATTGAAAGAAATTGGAGGATTAGTGTCCTATTTTCTACTCTTGAAAATACTAGTGTCATATGCAAAGGATGATACAGTACTATAGTTTGTACATTTATTTTTCCATTACACAAATTGTTGGAATTTATCATTTAACATTACATGTATAGTTTTCCATTGAAGAACCTTGTTGATACAAGAATATTTTTTTTTATCTTCCACCAAAACAATTTTCTTGTGTTAATCCAGTCTTCTGTTTTCCCAGCCTGGATTTTCAATGAATTGGCCTTGTGAGGAGAAAAATCAACAGCTTCATGGAAGTCTACCATGAAATGACTATTTAAAAAATCATGCTGTAAAGTTGATCCTCTTTCAGATTAGCATTTTCCATGGAATTCAAATCTGACATGGATCTAGATGAAAGCCTCTCTTGCTGCCTCTTACTTGATACCCCCCTAGTTTTCATATCCACAGATTTAACATTAAAAGTTAAAACCTGGTAGCTTTTATTCTAGCTCTTTGCTTGCATTGACTCAATCCATGTGGTGGTTAATGTTTGGTGAGGAGGGATGTCTTCAAAGGGTTTGGGAAAGAGGCTGTGTAAGGCAACAGGTGAAGGAACAGGCTCTGGTTTCAGGTGGGTCATCAGGTTTGTGAGCACAAGTTGATTTTGTGGAGGGTGGGGTGGGCACTTCAAAAGTCTGTAGACATTTTAAATATTAACACTATCATCTAAAATATCCAACAATATCAGATTTAATAAAAACTGAAGTCTTGTAAGGTTTGCTAGTGAACTCAAAAATAATTTTAAGACCACTATAAACAAATACAAAATAATATTGTCACATATACTGAAATCAAATACTCACCATATCCACCGTAGCCTCCATAGCCACCTTGATTGTAGCCTCCATACCCTCCTTGGTTCCATCCATGGCCCCAACCTCTGCCACGACCCCGAACAGCACCTCTTCCTCCTCTCATACCGCCACGCATGCCACCCCGCATCATTGAGTCTGGCTTGGGGGTTGCCTTCTTCACATCAACTTCGTGACCGTTAATGTTCTGTTTGGGGGTCTTGAGTAGATCTGTCACAACTGCTTCCTGGTCAAAGGTTATAAAGCAGAATCCCTTCCGCTGATTCTTTTGCTTGTCAAAAGGTAATTCCATGTCTATAATATTGCCATACGAACTGAAGAATTTCTTTATGTCATCATCTGTTAACTCTGGTTTGAGACCACCAACAAAGATTTTGCCGTGGCGAGCCTTTGCCTTTTTAGGATCTACTTTCTTTCCATTTATAACGTGATCACCCGCATCAATAACCTGCCGAGTAGATTGGATTCTGCTATAAATACATGAATTTACATAAACAATATTAGTATTTATAAACAAAACTTAATCCATGCCATTACAAAAGTAGTCAACTTTCCTTTGACTATCCTGCAATACAATTAAATCAAGATAGTTTAGATAATCAACAACGTAAAGGTGCTAAAAAATATCCATATGTAATGCAGATGGTCCTTTAGCCTTCAAAACACCATTTTTTTTCCTAGCTTTCAGATTTATGAACTTAGCACTACTGTACTTATTTCCACTGCTTTTATTTTTGAACACTTTCACATACAAGGTAGTTGCAGTTAACTTATGATCGTTTAACACAAAAACCTAATATTTGCTCTGCATCCATCCACTCAACACTAGTTTTATGCTATCATCCCAGCACAAAAATTTGTGGTTTAAGGAAATTGAAGCAATTATCAAAAGCAAGCACCAAGCTAGGGAGACACTAGACCCAACAGTATTGCAGGATATTAAAAAACTGCTAAATATTACAGAGGATGCCAATACGGGAACAGAGCACAAAAGGCAAGTAAGTAATTATCAAAGAAGGCACCAAGCCGGGAAGGCTATGTGCACACAAGGCAAGCATTATCTAAGGTACTAGATTCACCTAGGGACAAGAGCAGAACATACTATTGTCCTGAAAATCGAGACATTCCACAAGGAGGTGCACACTTAAGTGGCAATAAGGAGCAGTGTGGCATTCCATTACGTCCCCACGAGTTAAGTGTGACCAATACGGAACCTAGCCAGACATTTACAAACATCTATTATGGTGGTAAGAGGAAGGCCAAAGACATTTACAAACATCTATTATGGTGGTAAGAGGAAGGCCAAAGACATTTACAAACATCTATTATGGTGGTAGGAGGAAGGCCAAGGATATTCATTTAAGTGTGTAGCTTGTTACCTTTAACCTTAGACAAATGACCCTGCCAGCAGTCTTAAAGGAATAGATAACTGGGTGGAAATCAGAATAAGGAATGCCTTTTTTGGAAATAGGACAAGGGCAGATAACCACCTTAGTGTCAGCATCTGGACATTCATTTAAGGCGACACCAATTTGGTCGAGAACCCAGCAAAACTCAACCGTCTTAAATCTGCCAAAACAGCCAATATTGGATTTTTACTACCACAGGATATCGCTTCATGTATTTCAGGTTTTTTTCCCATAAATGTTACACTGCCAATACTGAATTCTAAAATCACTTTGCTGTTCAGCCCAGATTGTTTTTTTCTATGGTACAGTCCTTACTCAACTATTATGCTTTGCTGACTGCTTTGATATTTGGGAATTTGCTCTTTTTTTTTTAGGGTGGACAAACTTCTGTTTCAAGAGTGGTGCCAGTTTTCCAGCCTAAGTGAGCCATCCCTCTTGCCAAACCTCTTACTAAAGAAAACTGAATTTGACTTCTAAATTTTTGCAATTAATGTTCTTTATTATAGTCTTGAGAAAATATAGTTAAGCAGATCCAATCGTGTAATGTGAAAATTATCAAAATCTGATTTGAAAGCTATAAATGTATCAAATGTTTTAATTATACAGCTTTGTAAAATTTTCCAATCACTTTAGTTACTTTTACATTTTCACAGTAAAATACAGAATATAAGATGGTAACACTTATGGCAAGATATTCTAGCATTAAAAAATGTAATAATATTTTACCTATTTCTTTACAATAAAGCTCAATGTAGTTCTGAATTATGTTAGAAATTGGCAATAAAAGTACCGTAATTATCAAGAGAAAGCCAGAGAAATTATGTAGCAACATTAAAGTTGCCGATCATTCAAAAGGTCACTAAGTATCACCAAGGATGCCAATACAAGAGCAAAGGCACCTAAGGGGAGCGATATCAAAGTATCAGATTCACTAAGCGCTATAAAGTGACAGTTGGGAAGCAAGACAAACATCCTGAAAATCAGGACATTTAACATGTATGACTAATGGCAATAAAAAAAATTGAACAATTACCAAACTGACTGATAATTTAAGTAAAATATAAAATACTAGACCAATTTACATTAATTTAAGCAAATAGAAGTGACAATTGACAGTAAAATGTTAATTAAAATCAAATCTTAGGATAAAGTCATGCAGGATGGCCACCACCAGTGGAAGGCGAACAGGTAGAGAGGCCATCTTTGATGGGAAGAAAACAATGCAATTGCACATCAGTCAGTACCCACAGGAAGCAAGGTATAGCTTTATGTACTACCCACAGCTTTCTAAACATTTCTCACAGATGCACACGTCTTTCACAACTCGTTAACAGTGCCATCTACATTTTAGCCACCTGTTCCTATTAAGATACATTTTAATGGTCAAACTGCAGAGTATCAAGCAGACAAGATAAGCAGAAGGAAGGAGTTTAGTTAGTGCTTTTAGTGTCATTTGCTGAACTATAAGAACTTTTTTGTGGCTGAATGATTTGAAAGAGTGCATCTTGATTGAAAGTCAATCACAAATTTAATAAGTAAACTTAAATTATCCTACAAATGGTCTTAAAATTGTTATTAATGGCAAGTCAGACACCATTATCACAAAGCGATGAAAATCCTTTAGCCTAAAACAGTTTTGGTTTTATACTTTGTCAAAGCTAAACCCAAAAAATTGTTTTCCATTTGCAATTTAAAAATAATTAAAAAATAAGTTATTTCAATATAATATGTTCCAAGAAAGTAATAACCAGACTATAAATGTTCCTAGTGCACTGTATATACAAAAATTATATTCAATGGAAATTTATCAAACAAATTATTATATAGAATTACAAAATACTACGTTTAGTAGTAGTATATTCATGCAGAGATTTCCATGAAAACTCACCTTATCGACCGCTTCCGCTATGCTAAAGACTATGAACGCAAAACCTCTTGATCGGCCAGTGTTAGGATCGGTTTTAACATTAATACTTTCAATATCGCCATATTTACTGAAGTGTTCACGAAGTTCCTCTGCAAAGGAAAGCTAATTAATTTCATCCTCGGTGACAAAAAAAAAATTTCATGCATGTTCCTCAGAATAGTTACGCTACATCAATATCAATCAGTAGCAGAACTGGAAATCTCATCATTATATATTACTAATTTAGAAATTACAAAGTAAAATGCTCGAACATTAAAAATTCGGCAACTATTAAAATTGTTAAAAAAATTAATCACTCACTTTCTGTCGTTTCCCAACTCAGGCCACCAACAAAAAGTTTCCTGAAACAGAGAGGTATTATCAGTAGACCTTCATGGTGATGGGCTGGGTGGAGTGATTTATTCGTGAGGACGTACTTTACCTTAAAGTTGGATTACGGCTTCAAGTTAGGATGGCAGCAATACAAAATCTAACCCACTCCAGCACGACAAGCAAGTTGGCAATAATTAAACTGCCCAGTCTGCTCTATATATTAACTCTGAAAATGTCTGGGCAACAGAGAACAACAAAAAGTTAGGGGGAAAAAATGAATGAATATTAATGCTAATGCTGCAAAGGATTACAGCAAGAACCACTCAGATGACCTTTGCTTCAAGTTGATCATAAATGGAAAGACAGGTAACCGTGTGAAGTTGGACATTAAGGTGAACAAGATAAATACCCTGGTGTCGATGCGAAGCGCTACATGTGGGCAACATTCTTCCCGAAGTAGCGGCCACCTAGAGGAGAGAGGAGTCTCTGTTAGTCCGGGGGCATGGACCACCTGAACCTTCCCTAGAGACGTTACGTTACCTCATTACGTTACCATTGGGCAAGAAGAACACACAGCTGGAGCAAGATGCCCACTGATGTCTGCTTGTTACGTTACAGCTTCATGATGGCAGAAACAGGGCAGCTTTAAGGCAAAACATTCAAAATGCAGGCGAAGTGATCAACACGGCAAATCAGCATACCACCCTTGATTCCCAGTTAACTTTGAATTTAATGTCAACAATTACTCCCAAATTTACAAATCAAAATCCCATTGTTAACCGATTACAATAATACTTAAATACAAAAAAATAGTGTGATCATTTCCTCTACTTACCTAGTACTTTACTTTACAAATTTTCAAACTTTAGTGATGCAGAAACTAAGACAAAAATAATTTAACAATATAAAACCAGCACCAGGATCAGAAACAATTTCACAAAATTTATACAATCTTTGGCATATTTAACCCATTTAATCTCACCGTTGATTTCTTTTAAATATACAAAATATTACCATATCAGTAATTATATTAGTATAGGTCAGAAACACAGCTTTCATTATATACAGATACTGTACACGAGAACAAATCTTCATGCCAAATGCACTCATTCCTCCACCAAATAGTACTTAAAATTAACCAACTGAAAATGCCTTTAAAAATTATTTGAATCAATGAACAAGTATCTGGTACCTACAGATATTTTATGAATAAGATCAGAAAAAATTATTATGAAGCACTATATTTAACCTTCAAGATGTGGTTATACATTAATCCCCCAAGGTAAAGCAGTTATGTTTATTTAAAAATTATGGCTTAGTTTTATATAAATGTAAATATGATTATAATACATTTAAATTGATGTTGCAAGTTACAAGCATTCTATAGTTTTATAACATATCACTGTGATAAAGGTTGGCATCAAATGACAGTCTTTCCCAACAGTGTGAATCCATATCTGGACAATATTACCAGATAATATAGCAGTAAGAAAATGACACCACCTTTGAGCTCTGCCTGTAGAAGATTTGTGTGAAATATAATTGTGCACATTATATTCTAGGCCTATACTGTATTCACTGTCCATTGCAGTCATAATTCCACACAGTATGACAAGTGATAAGTGAATAATACATATATTGTACCATGTACCTATCACAGCACACCTACATGACCCGTCCACAGCTTTCTTCATATGCACACAACCAAAAAATGCAAGAAAAAAAGGGGAGGGGAGTGTGGGCGAGATTCCACAAATGTGTGTGCACGCGCAGGCAAAGTGGCACTTCTGATATTGGCCCTTCTACTATTATCAAGGGTTAACAACGACTATGTTGATAAACTCAATCTGTTTAAACATCAAGCAATTTCACTGCTAAATGCAATGTTTAATGTCTGAATAAAGTATGTGTAATACTACTGTAGTTAATATTAAACTTAAGTTGCATTTATTTTTTATTAAACAAAAAAAATTAAAGTGTTGGAGACATGTATTGATGATTTAGGAAAGGAAAAAAAAAACTTTCCTGCTTTGGAAAAATCAGGAGTTTTGGAAAACTGCAGCAGGAAGGTTTGTAGCAGAATAAGTGTCATCATATGCGAGAGCTGCAGAGTGGCACAGGACAGCAGAAAGACTAATGAAATGGGTTTGCCTATTTCACACAAAATGGTTCTTGGCACAGCTAAGAAGCCTATGTCTTGCATCCCAATCAATTGCTGCAATTCTGCCATGGATTGTCATCCAGGCATGTATTCAAACAGGTAGAAAGACTCGTCATTTGACCATAAATGCAAGCCCCTAATAAGAACACTACTTCTTGTCAGACATCATGGGCACTTTGTTAACCATCACATCCATATAGTTATTATAACTATAGTAGTACTTTTGCACGTCCCACCCCATTACCACCCCTAGCAGTAACAGATCAGTTGCTTTAAGCAACACTCAGCATTGCGTTAAATGCTTATTTTCGAAGTTCACTAAATTTTATAATTATCCTAAAATAATGCTAAGGTACAAATGAAATTTGCTGTAAGTATTTTTATACCTTTCAAGTAATTTGCAAAACAAGAAATACTTGCAAGCAGACCAAATATTGTCTCAAGGAGAGGATAGCTGGATGATGTACCAATTTGTACCCAGATAAATTGGGTGGTCCCCAAATAATCTCCAAGCACAGTGCTTGTGTATTATCAAAAGTGCAAATAGAATTAAGCAAGTCATCCATAGAAATTAGATTGGATGAGCACGGACTCATACGATCAATAAATGCTGAAGATAACAGTGTTACCATTCGTCCCCAAAATGTTCCACACTATGGATCAATTAAGCAAAAATTTTAACTATAACATGAACATCTACCAAGATAAGTTTTTTTTATACCCTTATCACCATCCTTTAATTTTTTTAAAGTTAAGCCTAGACTCAAATGGACTAAGTGAACCAAGCCCATTAACGTCCCCCCGTCAAAACTAGTGTGCTCAAGATTGTCCGAGCCACCAGGAACACTCCAATAAATAGCTAAAGGAGCCAATTCGTAACTTTTTCCTAAGCTACATTTCTGGTACTTAACCTAAAAATTCAAACCGCTATTGAATGAAACATTGAAAGTTGCCACTTTCAAAATAAAAACCAACCTCTTCAGATATTTAAACCCGGCAACAATTCCTCCCCTTGTCTACGGATAATATTCATCTCTGAAATATCCTTGGAATCTAATCCAATGAATAATTATCAAACAATAGATAACAAATTTGGAGGAGACATCCAATGGGCATATTTAAGACCTATTTAGAGACTAGCTATACAAGATCTTAATTTTTTGGTGTACAATATATTTTCAAACAAGTAATTTTATGTAAAAATTAAAAGCATTTTATGCAGCAGTCTTATAGTGGCCGACAACAATTGTAAATTGTAACCAGAAGTGATGGATGCCAGACTCCCATTATTTTGTCAGAGTGCTTGCAGACTCCATTAGGCAACATCGATATTCAAACGATAGAACAAATACCGGGTAGTGTGATAATTATATAAAACATTTCATTTTGCCATCATTGTGATCATAGCACTTAAATCTCACCAAGCTAAATTTTAATTTCAACCCCTCATACAATGCAAATTTTAAGGGGGGGGGGGGGGGGAGGGTCTTCCATGATCCTCCAAATACTGTAAAAAATGACCTTGATCCATCAACTTTATTTCCCCCCACAAATCTAGCTCAAAATTTTTTTTATGAAATACCTAACTTCTCAATAGATAATTAAGAGCGTTTCATAATTATTATCAGAATACTCCCAATATCCACGCAAAATTCTAATTTCCACCGAATCTCATGGGGAAAAAAGTTCATTTAAACCAAAAGCTCGCCATATAATTCTTACAATCCATGAAAATAAGGCTTTGTTGTCTTTCCAATTATTCAGCCATCTTGTGAACCATGTACCCCAACCCTTTTAAGAGCAGCTTTCCCTTAAACTAACTTTCCATATGTAAAAACAAAATCCACGTTTTAAGGGCACGATGCCATCGATGCACTGGATAGGTACTGGGGCACTGCATTATTAGACTACAAGAAAATGATCAATAAGCTACACTAAATCTTCAGTGCTTATGCCTTCAAAGTACAGTAAATGGCTATTATTCCCTCCCCCCCCTTCAAACTATATTTTGACCTTTGCCTGCAACAGCTTAGGGAAGAAGTTCTAAGACTCCTGAAGCTGCTCTAGACTAGAAAGACCAGGGGCCAGATTCACGAAAGCACTTACGTACCTGTACATCTTCTCAATCTTTGACGGCTTTGGTTACATTTATTAAACAGTTTACAAGCATGAAAACTTCCCATTCAACTGTTATTGTTATAAACAGCCTCCTGGTACTTCACAGCTCATTAACCGTTTAATAATTGGAAACAAAGCCGCCAAAGATTGAGAAAAGATGTACTGGTTCTTAAGTGCTTGCATAAGTGCTTTCGTGAATCTGGCCCCAGCTCTAAACAAGGAGGCTGCAGTGCTCAAGGTGTCACCCCTAAAGTCATAGGCAAAGGTTAGAGCAATGTTTGAGGGGAAATAATAGCTACTTTCTATACTTTGGAGGAACAGGTAATCAGAAAACACATTAGAGGAACAAAGATTGTTAGTGCTATTGACCAATTGTCTGATCCTAATATGGCTGCAAACTTTTACCAACTACAATCTTCAGGTCCTGTTCACTTCAGATTAATAACTAATGCACTAATCTGTATCGATCTTACTTTACCCTACATCAATACTGTGATACTAAATGAGCTTTCCACTGAATACACCCCATATTGTATACCAAATGAGCTTTCCACTGAATACACTCCATATTGTACAAGAGTTTGCCAACATTTTAAAAGCTTGCCAAACCTTCCCCAAAATATCCTAACCTAAACTAATTAAGCCTAACATTGTTTTGACAAGAAAATGAGTCGTTAAATACTATAATTTGACCATACCCTTTTCCACCCCTTCAAAAGCCCTCGCCTAATTTTTTGAAAATCTAGAACAAAGTTTACAAATTCACAAAAACGATAGTCCCAACAACAGGCCTATGGAACAAAAGTACTAATGTAGCAAATAAACATACTTCAGATAAAATGAAAGTCAAATTTTTCGCTTTACAAAAAAATTTCAAGAAATACTAACGAGGAAATCTCTTCCAAGATTGAAATGCTCCCATGTCCTCGAAACAATTTTTTTTAGACATATCCATATGCTGCAAATTACCATAATTTATCAAACCTCACGAACTCACTCTTTCCTCAGAATTCTCCGAGGAGAGGGCTAAGTTCAGTGAAGTCACATTCTGCCAAATTGTTCTGAATCCTGAGCCTGGTAAACATACTTAGTGCACAAATAAGTCCCTCAAGCCTATATTTAAAATTAATCTAGCACAGGAGTGGGGAACTATGAAGTACTGACGACCGCTAGCCGCTGCAGAGGGGCAAGATACATTAAGCCAAGTTACCTAGTTAAATGTGGGAATCGCAAACAGATAGGGCCCATGCAGCTTAATGACCCAGAAACAATTTTACAAGACTTACGATGGGCCAAGAAGAGGCGAGTTACATTAAAATTAAGTACAAATGCTCAAGTTACCAAACATCTGAAACTAGGCTAGCATGTTGGATGCCACAATATTCGACTACAGAAAATACAATCAACGAGATCGACTTGGGGGTCACAAATTTTTAAACACATTACAGCAAAGATACACAGCGTATAACTGCAGAACGTCTTTTTATAATACAATTACTCATGCTAGCCTATAATTAAAATGAAATTCGACAATGGAAAGCGCATTTCCTTTGTGAATTGTCTGCAACTGGTAACCCAATCATACCAAAGTTTACAATACTGATATAAGGGCACAAAATAACAAATGAAGCAAGAGCCCAGGACGCTAACCTCGGCAGGGACAACGCTCCCCATCGTTCGGGGTCGCCCTAGTAATTTAACAAACTACCCACCCCTTGACCCCCATTTCATATCAACGCTTCTTACGTAACTCTACTGTACCTGAAAAACTCCTGGCATGTACAATAACAATAATTCTCACGATTCTAAGTTTGCAAAGAGCCCCAGTGTGAGCGGAGACGACCGTCCGGCATCATACCTATCGTCGTCCCTTCCCGGAGCGTCGGCGGCGCCGCTATCCTGCATGTTGCCCGCGTGGCCCTCGCCGCCCTGGTCCTGGCTCTCCGCCACCCCGGCGCCGTTCTCCTGGAAGTCCCCGCCGCTGTAGTCCTCCGTGAAGTCCTGCTGCTCCATCTCCTGGTCCGCCATGAGGTTCTGGGTTGTGTGGGGCGGTTTAAAGATAGCCTCCTCTGGGCGGATCGATTGTGCGTGTTGTGTGCAGACGGCGTAGTGGGGGGGAGAGAGAGAGACTCGCCTTGGTGCTACAGGAGGCTACTGACCAATCGCGTGGCGCGCTTGCCGGCCTCATGGTGCGGCCGGCCAATCACGAGCCTCATTGGTCTCCCTCATGGTGCGGCGACCAATCACAACGCGCCCAGCTCGCAACTGAGCCTACATCAGGGCGCATGCGTTTGGAAAGGACGCCATGCCCCGCGATCCCTGCCTTGAATATATTGATTATTATATGTTGTAATTACTAGAAGATTATTTGCTTTCTAAACATTTGCTTTAAAACGATATTTCCAGCTGTTTTAATATTAGAAAAGATTCGGTGCAAAATCCTTCTCTATCAAGTAACTATAATAATTGCGTACATGTGGTGACTGCTCAAGGCACATGTAAAACCTTTTTCCGGCTCTCTCTCTCTCTTTGGATCCTATTGACACATTTCTATGTATTAATTCTTAATATATTTCCACCAATAGATAATTAAAAAATAATTGCTGCAATTTATATTATTATTTGAATACTGATATAAGGGCACACATTTTTACGCATTATTTTGTATTATTATTATTATTATTATTATTATTATTATTATCAAGCTTAGGTATGCACAACAATGTACTTTTATCCACTAACTAAAAACTCTATATAAAAGATTACAGCGTGCAGATCAAATTACGGGCTGTTGATGCCTGTCCCACCTCTTGGGTGACTTAATCTTCATTAATCAATCAGCAAAAAAAAAAAAAAAACGCTATGCGTATTAGTGGCTTTAGGTTTTGTATGTACTAGCTCTATCTATATAAATCCATCATTATGTTTGTTAACTCATCATCTATCTATGTACTTTTCCTGAATAAAAATATTAATTTAATTTTAACTTTTAATTTAACTAGTCACAAGTTCATCTAATATCCCCATCCCACAGGATGGTTAGTCATACATGGAATTAGGATAGAACATTGCCCGAAACACTATATACCTATTAGTGGTTTTGCAAGAATGTAGGAATTCCGGTGTTAAGAACTCCCACAACCCAATGTACCTTCTTGTATATAAATAAATACAAAATAAACATGAAATGCGAGGCTGATCTATCAGCCTGCACTAGTAACGTCTCTGGGCTGGGCTCCCGGGTACATATCTTATACTGATACATGAACAGAGGCATCAGCTGAAAGGAAACTGGCCCATCTGCTTTTGAAACTACATATTTACATTAAACGTTGTAATTAACTAACTTATCAAACCTGTAACTTGCTCAAATACATAGCAAGTTACAGAGGTTCCTCTGCCGCTTTACTGAGGCGGAGGAGCATTATATTAGATTAGATTAGATTTTTTATTCCGGTAAAGGTACATACATGGAAGATGAGTTACAAACATAATGTTGGAATTTAAAGATAGAGCTAGTACATACAATACCTAAAGCCACTAGTACGCATAGCGTTTCGGGCAATTTCAATTTCTTTCGGACAAGATGTGCAAAACACTTAAAAAAATAAGACATGTACTAATTGAGATTTAAAGAATGAATTGGACTGAAAAAGTAGTGAAATAGTGAAATATGTGGTAGTGAAATATGTAACTAGAACCGTTCCAAACCCGAGGAGAACTTCGGTGGATCGAACTCGGTCATAGTCAAAAGTGGTGTGGGAGTCCGTAGAATGGGACGGGTATCATCAGGGGTGGACGTTGTGGGTCACAGGGGTAAAATGTATGGGACGTTGTGGGTCATGTAGGTATAATGTGTGTGTGCAGGGGTAAGAGGGGATGATAAGTATGTGGGCATGTGTACATTTTACCTTCTTTAACTTGTTTAGTCTGCCTTTACCAACACAAGACATGACAGGAACGGCACAGTCAATAAGAGATCTCACAGTATGCCATGTGATTACCATTGGAATCTGAAATGTAAAATATGATTAATAATTGTGTACTGTGTGGGTTTGTGAGCCCCTTGAGGGACCTTATACAGACGAGGGTAGAAATAGCCTAAGTTACTCTATCCTTTCGAGATAAACTTACTTGAACTTGATGTGCAGTGACTTAATATCTAACATATTCAAGGATTTAAGTAAGGGTGCCGAGTGCTGTCTGGGGCCAGTTTGTTATTGTTCTAATAACAGATTTGTGTTGAGTAACTTGAGGACGTAGATGATTTTGGGTAGTAGAACCCCAAGCACAGATACCATAAGAGTAATATAGCATTACTCTGGCAGGGTGAGGTACATAATATCTGATTTTATAAGGAATACCAATTGTTTTAGAAACCTTTTTAGCTATATTTTGAATGTAGCCCTGGAAATTCAGCTTATTATCAATGAGAACACCAAGGAATTTACCATCTACAGTACTTCGTTACTAATTTGGATATTGTTAATTCTTAGATTAATTCAATCTGAGAATATATTTTTTGTCAATGTTAAGAGTGAGTTTGTTAGCAGTTAGCCAAAGATGGATTTTATTTAGTTCAGCATTCACTGTCATTGAGAATAAGAGGGCTGGAGAAAATGAAGTTTGTGTCATCAGCAAATAAAATTGGCTTGAGGTGTTGAGAGGCATTTGGAAGGTCATTAATGTAGATGAGAAAGAAGAGAGGGCCACATATACTGCCCTGTGGAACACCAATAGTGATGGGTAGGGTGGAAGAATTAGAATCATTCACATACTGGAGCCTGTCACTGAGGTAACACTGAAGGTATTGGAGGGAGTGACCTCTGACTCCACAACGATGTACAGTAATTTAAGAAGGTTGTGGTGGTTAACAGTGTCAAAAGCCTTATATAGGTCAACAAATAACTCAACAGGGAACTAATTTTTATTAAGAGCTGCATGTATCAAGTTAATACTAGCTCTATCTATAAATCTATCAATTTTTGTAAAACCTCTTGTATGTATGTACCTTACCTGAATAAACATTTATTTATTTATTTATAATCATACTAATCAGTGCATCACTGGTGCTTTTTTTGAGTATGAAGCCATATTGACAAGAGCCAAGTACAGTATAGTGTGTTTAGCTAGATAAGAGAAAAATTGCTTGTAGATTAGCTTTTCAAATATTTTAGAGGTTTGTTTTGTATTAAGGTAGTTATTATCTCCCCTAATTCCATGTGTGACTAACCATCCTGCGAGATGGGAATAATAGTTGAACCTATAGCTAGTTCTTGATCTACACTGTGTAATATCTCATATATAATAGGGTAGCAGCACATTGCCGTGTATACCTAACTTTGCTAATTAAAAATTAAAAAAAAAAAAAAAGACAAAGTTGGCTGAATTGATATAAGTCTGAAATAGTTGACATCAGTGAGATCACTTTTATGGACTGGGGTTACTCTCAATTTTTTTTAGAATATTAGGAAAGTTTGGGCGTTCAAGTGATTTGTTGTAGAGCAATGCAATTGTCGCAGCTAGAAATCTAGAGGCTTTTTTGTAAAATAGAGTTGGTATCTCAGCAAGGGTACTTGACTTTGCTGTAAGAGAGGTAGTACTCGTGCACATATATGGTGAGCAAAAGGTGTGTGAATTCACTTTGTCATCATATTGGTAATACTGCTCTATATAGGCTTAAACTCTATATAATACCCCATGTACTCATCATAATCATAGATTAAGGACCTGTCTGAAACACTGTGCGGTTAGTGGCTTTACAAGAAATTAAAGATATCAGTGCTATGTACTCTCATAAACCAAATGTACCTTTTTAAATTTATTTATATAAATAAATAAATAATCAATTGTGGGTGGTAGTGGAAAAGGTTACAGACACAATACCTGAACCCCAACATTCATTATTTGAGCAAGTTAGTCTTGATAAGTTAGTTAATTACAACATTTAATGTAAATATGTAGTTTCAAAAGCAGGTGGGCTAGTTTCCTTCCAGCTGATGCCTCTGTTCATGTATCAATAAGATATGTACCCGGGAGCCCAGCCCGGAGACGTTTTTAGTGCAAGCTGATAGATCAGCCTCGCATTTCATGTTTATTTTGTATTTATATACAAGAAGGTACATTGGGTCAGAGGAGTTCTTAACACCGGTGTTCCTACATCCTTGCAAAACCACTAATAGGTATACATATAGTGTTTCGGCCAATGTTCTATCCTAAATCCATGTATGACTAACCATCCTGTGGGATGAGGATATTAGATGAACTTGTGACTAGTTTTTGATCTGCTGATTGATTAATGGTTAGCACTACATCCTACTTGACTCTGGCAGCAGAATGTAGCAAGCATCATCTCAACCTATCACAATATATCATTTGACAGTTGTTACCTACATTAAATAAACATTCAAAACCATCATACACGTTTCTCATATCTTTGTGATATCCTCAGTTTATAAACATCAGCTGACATAGCAAGTTCCTATACTGATGTAACGGTATAAGTGGCCAAGCGAAAAAAGGGGTAAAATATTGCTTCTCTCTGAGTGGTCAAACCAAAACTACTAATGCCATGTTAACAGGCAGATAACTAGTACCCAAATCTTAAAACATGCGTACATGTTTATTTTTTCATGATCCTTGTAAGAACATGAACAGTCCTCATAAGAGCCACTATCACACAATGACTTAAAGTTCAACTCAAGATTGGCAGTAAATTCATGGCCTAAAAAGTTGTCAGCTATTATTTTTATATTGTTTTTCTCTATAACAACACAATCTGAATTGAAAACAAGTAATTGGAAAGTATATATTAGGTTATTGACATCAGAAGTAATATTGTTGATAATTTTTTGTACAACATTAATTTGAACCTATATTTATATAAGCTAATTTCATATAAATAAACATGCAGCTAATAGGCAGGAAATGACAGCAAAAGTCATCACAACAAAGACAGATTGTGTAGGTGATCAACTATAGCAGTAGCCACAAGCCAGCAACTTTTCCCCAACCAAGGTAAGCAAATTGTCTTAGTTGCTTTCATTTAATTAAATTTTATTTACCCATTCTAATATATCCATGTTCTAGCAACTTTATTTAACATGAATAATTAACCAAGCATTAGAATGAGCAATGAAATGCAGTCACTTCTTCCATACAAACAAAATTACCACTGCCTCCAATTTTATCAAATCTTGCAATAACACTGCACTGTAATGAACACAATGTACAAAATCAAGGACATTCTAAGGCAAGAAAACATCAAAAGTCTTTGGAAGTGCCAAGCAAATGAGTTAGCTGTATCAGAGCAGCCTGTAACTCGAATGTGGTTGGATATAAATAGGCTTCACTGTCAAGTATTGCTGCTGAATAGCATGCCAGTGTGTACCAAAACTATTTTGAGAAGACAGTACAATAATGTATCATATATATTTCACCAAGCCATGCATCTTAGTGGCTGAATATATACTCTCATGCTTTGCTTTATACCAATTAATCTTAATGCCTTGATGGACTAACATTTTAAATTAAATTTGCATGTTTGCATTTGGTATTGCCAAATAATATTTTATTTCTGCAACCTTATCATAGGTATCCATTTATAAAATGCCACTTTTATTACTAGCTGCAAAAAAAAATCAACCAATGAACTACATTAGCTTATACAGTACAGTACTGTATATCCAAAATATATACACTATTAAAACAATGCTCAGCCAAAATACAGAAAAAGATAAATAAAATTATTAAGTACTGTAAATGGACAAGATTTTTTATTTTTGAAATACAATTCATAGAAAAGTTTACAAAAGCTGCTGGAAAAATACAGGGGCAGATATTTGTTCATTATGTGAAAATTTATGGTAATACAGTATTTATAATTGATAAAAACTAGTAAATATAATGCAGATAATACCATGGCTGAAGATATGATGACCAAACCACACATCAGCAAATGAAGAAACGACGACGTTTTGGTCCATCCTGGACCATTACCACGACTTGATAATGATAATGGTTGAGAACAGACCAAAATATCGTTCGTTCTTCATTTTCTGATGTGTGGTTTGGTCATCATAGTAAAAATGATTATTAGATTTTATTTATGAAATTATAATACAGTACTTCCTGATTATTTTGCATCAAAATTAAATTTAAATGTAATCATTTATTATTTAAATTTTAGTACAGGTTCAGTATTTACATTTGCAGGTGCAAAATAATAAATTTCTTAACAGAGTACAAGAAATACAATACCTTGTTTAACAACAATAATTTACTCTCGGTACAATACAAAAGCTGAACAACTGTGGAGAAAATTAATTACCATACACTAAAGTTAACAGATTTTCAAGTAGCTTTCCACACACACACACACACACACACACACACACACACACACACACATTAGCAGTCTTCACAACATGAGCCTTCTCATGTACAACCATAAACAAATCTTCATACAAGTGAGCAACATCATGTACACTAAGTTATGTACATAAGCCAAAATCTAGTGTGTACAGTTGCATTATTCTTTCCAATACTGTATTCACTTTCATTATACTGTACTATAATTATTTAGTTCTATAAACCTTAATCCTTAAATTTTTAATAGTGTTAACCACTTTCAATCTTCACAGCACTTCAAAGATTCCCTTCCGGTAATTTGACTATCATCAACATTCTGTCTTCGCACTGAAGTAAATTTCAGCACTTTAAACAACTTTTCTTAATCAGAACACAGTAGTTAGAATACTAGGCTGAGAGTCAGAAGATATATATTACTATAGCATATGCTCCAGTATTGGCTTTGTTGCAAGGCCTGACACGCACACTCATGACACTCCAGAAACATCTACGGCTAAATCTCCCTGGGATTTATTAATTTCATCTTTGAACTTAGTTATTGTGTCTTTTGCAAGCTTTATCTTGTCTCTCAAGTCCACTATTTCATTTGCTATTTTATCCTTGGCAATTAACAAATTTTTCAGTGTATTTTCTTTCTTTTCTTCAACTGAAAGCAGAAAATTAAGTTAATTATTAAATAATTTATATGTGTGTGTGTGTGTGTGTGTGTGTTATATATATATATATATATACAGTATAACACATACAATTATATATACAATTACATATATAATTGTGGTCATATATATATATATATATATATATATATATATATATATAACTGAAAACTCACACCCCAGAAGTGACTCGAACCCATACTCCCAGAAGCAACGCAACTGGTATGTACAAGACGCCTTAATCCACTTGACCATCACGACCGGACAAAATGAGGTGATAGCCGAGGCTATATGAACCACCCCACCGCCGGCACTCGGATAGTTATCTTGGGCATAGCATTTTACCAAATCACCTCATTCTTTGGGGCACACGTGAGGAACACAAATGCGAACAAGCCTGAATGGTCCCCAGGACATATGCAACTGAAAACTCACACCCCAGAAGTGACTCGAACCCATACTCCCAGAAGCAACGCAACTGGTATGTACAAGACGCCTTAATCCACTTGACCATCACGACCGGACAAAATGAGGTGATAGCCGAGGCTATATGAACCACCCCACCGCCGGCACTCGGATAGTTATCTTGGTATCACCTCATTTTGTCCGGTCGTGATGGTCAAGTGGATTAAGGCGTCTTGTACATACCAGTTGCGTTGCTCCTGGGAGTATGGGTTCGAGTCACTTCTG